AGCAATTCTGTGATTGTGTGATTCAGCGCTAGTCTTCCAGTGTACAGTTATGGAATCTCACTATTTGTGAACTTGTACCTGAATCCTCTTAACTTACCAAAAAGTCACAGCTAGATTTGGTTATTGGTTAAATGTAAAGAGCTTGTAGTTGTGTTTAGAATTGTCAGCAAGGATGTCTGGCTGCTTAGCGAGTTCCCATTTCAATAGTTGTTGGTGCATAAACAGTAGCTGGCCACCATGAGACTGTAACTTGCAGATATTTTATTTGCAGGAGAATAAGGTTTAAATAGGGAGACACTTTACTAGGAGATAAGACGCAAAGCTCGAAAGATTCTTACTTTATAGTTAGAGATTTGCCTGATAGTAAAAGCTAAGTTTTCTGTTTCTTGATTCTCCTCTTAAAAGCAGGATTAGTTTGTGATTTGGGGGGCAGTGGGTTAAATTATTTTAAGATATTGAGATATCAAATTATATGCTGGTCAGCATTCATTGCTGTTTATACAGATAGCAGTGAATAGTTTTATAGCAGTTTCACAACAAAACTGATTCAAGAAGAAAAAGCCACTGGTTGAGGAGACACATAGTGCTGTCTGTTGTGATGTGCACATGTATTTGAACTTTGACTTGTAAAGTGTGTGTTGGCCTCTCAAAGGTACTTTGATTTTGTGTTTTACTGGTTTTACAAATATGAAGTTTGCATTCTAGCTTAATCATGGCTTTTTTTTTTAATATCAGCCTTTTTGGGAGGAAAAAAAGTTTGAAGTAGAATTGTACAAGTCCCAAGAGTGATCACCGTTGCGTGCATTCTTAAATGCTGTTAACTTTTTATAAGTATATTTATTCTCATAACTACAGCATTGAAATCCAATTATGATAAATAGGATACTGAATCAGAAGGTTTTTCTTCAACTATTACGGTGGTGAATAACATTGTGAAGAAGTCTTCTCATTAACCCATACTTGAATTTGGTAATTATGAGGTGCTCATGACTTTGTGTGTGAATGTTGACGTTTTTGTTCCTGTAGCTGGCCTGGGGAGGACAGGAACACTAATTGCCTGTTACATAATGAAACACTACAGGTTCACGCATGCTGAAGCCATTGCTTGGATACGAATATGTCGACCAGGCTCTATTATAGGACCTCAGCAACACTTCTTGGAAGAGTATGTATACCTTTTTTGCTACTAAGAATCAGCTGCTTCTCTCCAGCCTTGTCCATCTTGCACCGTTTATAGGATCTACTTTCTGTCTGCTGCCATCATATATTACTGCCTGTTGCGATCATTTAAGATGAGTTCATTTGGGATTGTAATCAAACTTACTCAGTAGCAAGTCTTCTCTGGAGTGCTGTCCATTTTGTCACCTTAAGGGGCAGAGGGGCTCAAGACTGTGCATGTTCAGGGGGATTTAGGAGTTGGACAAATTTGTTGGAAATGTGAAGTCCAGATGTGGACGAAAGATTAAATCAACAATGAAGATTTATTGCAATATTAACATAGGAAAGATTGACTTTATGTACTTTATATATAGTCTATGATGACACTTAAAATTAATCTTAGAGTAGTGTAATTGATGTGTTTTCTTTCTTGTAACTAAAGATTAAATAAGGTGGACAGCTTATGATCTCTGTCACATTCCTAGTGCAGTGTATGAAGCATTTCTGTTTTGGAGCTAATAGTCATTAGCAAAACAAATGTATGGTTTTAATGCAGCTCCTTCTCAAAAGTGACTGTATACTTCGGGTTGAGAACATTTCATGTACAGATAACTTGAATGGGTGATTCACGGTTCCTGACAGGAAATGAATGACAAAATTTACTGGTTTCAGTGATGTAGACATTAAGTTTAATTTCATAGTGGTTTCTACATTGTGTGTTTACTATTGCAGTGGTTATGCTGATACTTTTCAGTTGGTACCATGATGATATTTAGTTAGAGGCATTTTCACTGTTATGAGAAAAAAACATTTTTATAAAATCCACCACAAATTTGATCTTTTTGGAAAAAAAATAGAATACAGTAGCTCTGCTATATACTGTGTAAAGACAGTAAATGATGCACTGACCTTACATCTTTAAATCAATAGGATATCAGAAAGAAGGAATATTAATGTAATTCATAAGAGAAATTGAGCATGAATGAGGCTTCCTGTTTATTTTCCACTGCAACTGAATGGGGACTCCTTTATTTGAGAGGTGGCTCACCATTATTCAAAATACTCGAAACACAAACATTCACAAACCAGAAGTGCTCACTGAAGGCAGATTAAACTTCTCCACACAGTGCCGATGCTTGGATGCTGTGCTCTTAAAAATATCTTCCACAGTAGAGCAAGATTAAGAGAGGTGGTAGGTAGTGTGATTACTAAGTGCTGTTTACTTCAAAGATCAGAAAAATAGGACCCATGTCTTTTCTGCAGTGATGTATAAGTACTTTATTTTATAGATACACAAAGTCCTTCGTGTTTTTTTCATTCATACCTACATTATTCATAGTTATGAGTATTGTTCAGTAAGAGTTTTCTGTTGTCCTAATGGCAACAGATACCTGTTTTGACAACCAAACAAAATTCAGCTATGTCACCAGTATCATCAAAATGGGATTGAGCAAGAAGGAGCTAACAGTTGCGTTGTTCTGATATAAAATATCTTACCCTCAGGCTGCGAAGTTGCAGCTGACAAAAATGTAAAATCTTGCAACTTTGCTCTCCCGACCTCTTAGATGCCAAAGCTTCATCTCTTAGGTTCTTTGAGGTTTAATAAGGAAGGTTTGAGTAGTGGTTTTGTAAAGATCCTCCCACCCAAGTATGTATCAAATCAGCTTGTTACTGTGAATGCAATTAATCTTGAAAGATTTCAAAGGTATTTCAATTTAAGCATGAGTTCTAGGCTACTTATGTCAGGTGGAAGAAGTGGTACTCGCTCTCCCCCTGCTCCCTCCTTCTCCCTTCTCTTGATGTGTTCTTGGGACGTAGCAAAATTTTGCTGGAGGTGCTTACCTCTCCCATTTATTATTGAGCACTTCAGGCACTTGGCTCAGACTACTCGGCTCTTCAGCTTTGCCATAATATTTTGTTTCCAAACAAAGGAAAGTTTCCAGTGAAAGTATATTCTGATTTAATTCCTCATTCTTTTTTCCTCTGTTCAGTATAGGAAATTAATTTTGTTACAATAATAGGCAATAGGATCTCGGTTCTTGGATGAAATTAGCATGCCAGGTACCTACCCAGCAAACTTCCTTATCGAGGAGCAGTGCAGTCTCATCAACAAAACTGCTTAGCCCATGCACATTGGAGCAGTTAAATTATTTTTTAACCACCTGTCTGAAGGAGATAAGCTTTCATTTTCTGAATATTGGTACTAGAGTCCTTTTCAACTTTACGTGACTGTGACCACTTCCACTGTGCACTTCAGCTGTGCTTTTACTGCACAGTATCTGTAAACACAAAACTCATGCTAATAAGAAGTTGGAAAGTGCTGTATCATCATTTATTTATTATTCATTTATTATAGTTTATTTTATTTTATTCATTATTCATTTATTCTATAAAAGTACTGTTTTATATGAATTTTTGTGTTGTAAAAGCCTTTAAAATGCCATTGCTAATTACTGTTTAGTTAATCTCTTTTCACAGTAAGATTTTGTAAAATGAAGTTCTATTACCTGTAATATTTCCGTGATGGCTACAGACGTGTTTGGTAATTGGTTTTTGTTATTGTTGTTTTTAACCATTGAAAATGATGATTTGTTTTTTGTGTGTGTGATAGGCATTCAAATTTTTTTTTCCAGATGAAGATGAACAGAAGATTCAAATATTGGCAATCTGTAAGAGTAGCATGTTTTCATATTGTTTTTATTATGTGTAGGCAAATCTGTTGATATGAACTGATTTGGTTTTGTATCCTAAAGGAAGCAAGCGATGTTATGGCTGGAGGGAGATCTCATGCGATCAAAGCAGAAACGACGAGTGGTTGATGGCAACCTTAACAGAGTTCTTTGCGGCTTGAGTGACATTTCGATCAGTGACAGCTTGAATAAAGTACAAGGCTTGGATCAATACAGGGAGGTAAGAGTTCACAGGAAAAAATTCAAACAAGCAGAAATGGAGTTGGTCTTTACATAACTGGATATAGATAATGCTTAGATATTTTTTTTTTAGGCTTGTATTAGTACTAGGTTGCTTTTTCACAGTTGGCCTTTTCTTTTTAAGTCCTAATTAGAACAAATTCCACTTTTTCAGACCAAAAAAAAGGAAACACGTTTAGGTTATATTTAAAACTGTTCTAGATAATTTTGCAAATTTCAAAAGGTTTGCATTATTTCAAGTCATTCTTTCTAGGGCTTTATTAGAGAATGGAGGAAAAAAAAGATCAGTTTTCCTCCCAGACATCCATTTATGCCAGGTTCCTACCTACTAATGCATGAGCTTATAGATGTCCATCCCTTTATCACAGTGTTAGGGATTACCGATGTGATGTGTACATTCAGGGTAAGGACCTTCTAATTATTTATTGGAAGCATAGGCATGAATTGTGAACTAAAGTGAACATACTCCTGCTTCTGGGCTAGTAAAAATCTTAAACTGCAGTTTCCTACAGTATTTGTGAGAAGCAGTTTAGAGGAACTATGCATTGGATTAATCCTATTTTAGCTCTGTAGTAACTATAGAACTTTTACATTGCTGGTGGAATCCTTTACTTAATCTAAAAGACCACGGATGTAGTGAGCACTTCCTTCAGATAGCTGTTGGTATAAACTAAAATAATCATATACTATAATCTGGAAAAACACCTTGATTGCATTTTTGCAAAGGTACTGTTTTCCTGTTGGAAGTCTAATTTGTGGCTTGGAATAGGTAAAGTGAAGTATCTAGATTACTAACAGGAGAGTAACACTGTGTAGAGATATCTTGTATGCCTAATGAAAACAGGTGGCACACAGCTGTGTGGGTAAAAGTAATGGGTTTTTAATCTGGCCAGACTCTGCCAAAAGCCTCTGAGGCTGCATTTGAACAGTGACACATTTCATTTACTAGAACTGCGCAAGGACAGAGCAGTGCCCCATGTATGCGTAAGACTGTAAATTACCCTTTTAAATGGCGATCTTTGTGAAGGAGATGTTCAGTACTTTGAAACTACACTACTCCCAAGGATTTAATATATTTTCTTGCTTCCTTACTTTGTGTTTCCCAGAATGATTTTGAAGACAAAGCAGATCCGGAGCCTCAGAATGGCATGACACAGGGAGATAAGCTTAATGCCTTAAAAAATCGGAGACGACAATATTCTGCTACAACTGGAGGTCTGAGGTAATTAATTAATTCGGAGGTAATTTGCAATTTTAAATTCTGTCTGCGCTATCAGATCTTTATGGCAAGCACATGGCCTTGTTTAAAGCAGTGGTACCTGTACCACCTTCTGAGGTGGAAATTTCTCTAGGTCTGTATCTATTAGTTACGGATTTGGTTTATACATTTCTTTTTTCTAACCCCCTCATCTGTCTCCCTGTTTGGGATACCTACTTATTATGTAGCAGTAAAAGACAAAGTAAAAAAATTTTCAAAACCTTCAAATTTATACCTGTCTAGCATTTAAAATTCATGTCTCAAACAAAATATTCTTCAATGAGCTTAGTTCTCTTGGGCAGGGAA